TTTTTGGGTGCATAGTTTGTGAATATTTTCTCCTAATTTGTGGGCTGTCTGTTTACTCTGCAGATTATTTCTTTTGCTGTGCAGAAGCTTTTTAGTTTAATTAAGTCCCATCTATTTATCTTTTGTTTTTGTTGCATTTGCTTTTGGATTCTTGGTCATGAACTCTTTGCCTACGCCAGTTGCTAGAAGAGTTTGGGGATGTTATCTTCTAAAATTTTTATAGCTTCAGGGCTTAGATTTAAGTCTTTGATCCATAAGATGGCTAATTATAAAAAAAATTAAAAATAGCAAATGCTGGCAAAATTGTAGAGAAAAGGGGAACTATTGTACACTGCTGGTGGGAATATAAATTAGTACAGACATGAGTAACAGTAGAGAATTTTCTCAAAAAACTAAAAATAGAACTATCTTATGATTCAGCAATGCCACTACTGGATATATATTTAAAGGAAAGACTGTCAGTATTTCAAAGAGATATGTGCATTTTCATGTTTATTATTTATCCACAATAAATTCTAATGTTCATTTATTCACAATGGCCAAGATATGGATCAACCTAAGTATGCATCCACAGATGAATGGAAATGAATGTTTGGTAGCAACAAAAAAAAAAGATGAATGGATAAAGAAAATATGATCTATATACACAATGGGATACTATTCAGCCATATAAAAAGTAAAATCCTGCCATTTGTGGCAACATGGATAAGCCTGGAGGACATTATGTTAAGTGAAATACTGCATGTTTTTACTTATATGTGGAAGCTAAAAAAGTTGAGCAACAGAAGTAAAAAGTAGAACAGTGGTTACTAAAGGCTGGTCAGGGAAGGGGGAAGGAGGAGATAGGGAGAGGTTGGCTAACAGATAAAATTACAGCTAGATAAGATAAATAAGTCCTAACCTAACTTTAAGGTTACTATAGTTAGCAATATTTTATATTTTTAAATAAGTAGAAGTAAGAATTTTAAACGTTTCTAACACAAAGAAATGATAAATGTTTGAGAAAATGGGCATGCTAATTACCTTGATTTGATCATTACACATTGTATATAGGTGTCAAAATATACTGTACTACATAAATTTATATAATTATTGTCAGCTAACAAATGTGTAGGACATAGCTAAAATAGTGCTGAGAGTAAAATGTATATCACTAAGTGGATACACTGCAAAAGGAGAAAAGTCTCAAATCAAAAATCTAACCTCCCATTTCAAAGAGAAGGAAGGGAATGACAAAAATAAGGGCAAAAATCAATGAAACTGAAAACTTAAAATCAATGAGGAGCTGATTTCTTGAAAACATCAATAATATTTACAAACCTCAATTAAAGCAGATAAAAGAGGAGAAAGTTCAATATCAGGAAGAAACAGGGAATATCACTACAGATGTTTTCAACAAAAGGTGATGGGACAATTAAACATCCATAAACTATAAAATAAACTCTAAGTTTCACATCTTATACAAAAACTAACTAAAAACTTTATTATCCACTTGTGATATGGCTGTGCCACCAACCACTGAAATCTCACATTGAATTGTAGCTTCCATAATTCCCAGGTGTTGTGGGAGGGACCTGGTGGGAGGCTATTGAATTATGGGGGCAGGTTTCTCCATGTTGTTCTCGTGATAGTGAATAAGTCTCATGAGATCTGATGGTTTTATAAAGGGCAGCTCCCCCGCACATGGTCTCTTGCCTGCCACCATGTAAGACATGACTTTGCTCCTCCTTCACCTTCCGCCATGATTGTGAGGCCTCCCCAGCCATGTGGAACTGTTGAGTCTATTAAACTTCTTTTTCTTTATAAATTACCCAGTCTTGAGTATTTTTTATAGTATGAAAATGAACTAAATCTCTAAAACTTTTAGGGAAAAAAACACAAGAAAAACTCTTTGGTATATAAGACTAGGCAAAGAATTCTTAGATTAGACACTAAAAACATGATCAATAAAAAGAAAAATTGAAAAAGTGAACTCCACCAAAGTTAGAAAATTTGGCTCTGTGAAAGAACCTACTAAGGAGATAAAAAGACAAGATACAAACTAGAAGAAAATATTTGCAAATCACATATATGCCAAAGGACTAGTATCTAAGATACATAAAAAGCTCTTAAATGCAATAGTAAACAAACAATTCAATTAGAAAATAGGCAAAAGATAGAGACGTCTCACTGAAAATGTTATATTGATGAAAATTAAACACATAAAAAGATGTTCAACATCATTAGCCACTTGGCAAAAGCAAATTAAAACCACACTGAGATATCATTATACATCTATCGGAATAGATAAATTAAAGAAAGAATTAACAAAACCAAATATTGCAAAGGATGCAGAGATATCATACCACTCATATATTCCTGCTGGGAATATAAAGTGGTGTAGCCATTCTGGAAAGAGTTTCACAGTTCCTTTAAAAAAGAGCAAACAGGCACCTGCTATATGGCCCAGCAATTGCTCTCCTGAGCATTTATCTTAGAAAAATAAAATTTATGTTCACATGAAAACCTGTACATGAATACTTATAGCAGATTTATTCATAATAGCCCAAAACCACAAGGCACCCAGATGCCCTTCAGGTAATACATAGTTAAACAAACCATTCCATGCCATGAAATACTACTCAGCAAGACAATGGAAGGAGTTATTGATACATGCAATAATCTGAATGAATCTCCACGGAATTACACTGAGTGAAAAGAAAAGCCACTCCCCAGAGGTTTCATATGATAAGGCTCCTTTTACATAGCATTCTTAAAATGGCAAAATTAAAGAAATGAAAAACAGATTAGTAGTTGCTAGGAGTTAAGGACCAGGTAAGGGTGGAAGGAAAGTTGGCTTAACTATAAAAGTACAGCATGAATGGTCCTTGCGGTGATGGAAAAATTCTATATCCTGACTGTATCAACATCTATATGCTTGTTGTGATATTATGCTATACTTTTGTAAGATGTCACCATAAATGATGCCTCAAAGCCTATTTCTCCTGGTAGTTTAGAAATACAGTTACCTAAGACTACCAACTAATTTCACTTTCATCATTAGTCAGTAAATCTCAGAAATATAAGCAAAGAACAATCCGGACTAGAGAAGAGAAGAGCCTGATCTCTTTTCCAGCCCTATGACTCACTCAAGAAGCCAGGAATATGCCACATGTTCTCTTTCTGCTGCAAGGGTTGCTGTGAAATAACCTCATTTAAGCTGTGTTGTACAGAATGGACCACCTTAATGCTGAGGTTCCAACATTTTCTATTTCAGGACTGGTTTGGGGAGATTGCACAGAGTTCATCCTACGATCCTTCATGTGAGAACGAAACCATTTGGGCATTTACATCATAAGGACACAGAGCTAGGAGGGATAAAGCCAATCTTGGCTATTGTTGCAATGGGGACAGAGGGTAGAGATCATTTGCTCCATCGGAGAAATTTGGAACTACAGTCGACCCTTGAACAACATGGGTTTGAGCTGTGTGGGCCCACATATATGTGGACTTTTTTCAATAAAAGCACCTGTCTCTCTTGTCTCCCTTTCCACCTCCTCCACCTCCTCCACCTCTTCTGCCTCTGCCACCCCAAGACAGCAAGACCAGCCCCTCCTTTTCCTCCTCATCCTACTCAAAGTGAGAAGAGGATGAAGACATTTATGATGATTCACTTCTACTTAGTGAACAGTAATGATTTTCTTAATAACATTTTCTTTTCTCAAGGTTATTTTGTTGTAAGAATACAGTGTATAATATATATAACATATAAGATTGTGTTAATTGGCTGTTTATGTTATCAGGAAGGCTCCTGGTACACAGTTGGCCACTACTAGTTAGGTTTGGGAGGAGTCAAAAGTTAGACGTGAATTTTTGGCTACACAGGTTGCCTATACTCCTAACCCTGACCCTGTTCAAGGGTCAACTCTACTGGGATGCTTTTTCAGCCGTTAACTTTCAGTGACTTCAATATACTCTAAACTGGCTGTTTTAAATGAGGAAATTTATAAGCTCACTTAATAGGGAGTTTAATAAGAGCTGGTTGATTCAGCACCCCAATGTTATTACCTAGGGCTTAGGTTCTCTACATTTCTTGTCTTTTCTATATACATGGTGGCTTCATTTTAAAAGCTGGTTCCCACCAGAGGACAATTGTGGAGTCACCCCCTTTCATTCAAATCTGGGGAGAGCATGGCAGAATAGCTTGTTCTTTAGAGCAAGGTAGAACTTTTCCAGAAGTCTCCCACGAACCTCCCATCACATATCACTGGCCAGAACTGGGTCACAGGACTTCTTATAAACCAATCACAGACAAGGGGGTATGAGCTAACCCTTAGCCCAATCAGATTTACTTTTGAAGCTGAGGGGATTCCTTGGAGTCACAGGGGCTACGTGAAGACAGGGCACTTGAACAAAAGTGAGGTTCTGTTAGGAAGAAATACTGAGGTTGTTAAGTGCTATGTAAGTAGTTGGTGCTCAATAATGCTGCCATCTTGTCTTAACTTAGCTAACAGGGTTAAGTGGCATATTTCTGAGGACTCTGATACTAAACAGTGCAAATATAGGGTAGGGTTTGACTTTTTTAGTTTTGAATCTTTCTTTAAACTGACTGTGAAACTTCATGGAAGTCAAATTATTGGGCCCTTGTTTTCTTATTTCTGAAAGGAAATAAAACTGTATAACCTCGGGCAACGTATTTACTTTTACAGTGTGTCAGCTTTCTCCTTTGTGAATTCCTTATCTAAAGTTTAATAGTACTTTACTCACAAAGTTGTATTAGTTTTCCAGGTTTTCCCATAACAAAGTACCGCAGATTGCGTGGCTTAAGCAACAGAAATGTGTTTTCTCAAATTTGGAAAGCTAGAAGGCCAAGATCGAGGTGTCGACAGAGTTGGTTTATTCTGAGGACTTTTTTCCTTGGCTTGTATATGGCCATCTCTTCTCTATATCTTCACCTCATCTTTCTTCTGTGTATGTCTGTGTCCTATCTTTTCTTCCTATAAGGACATCAGTCATATTCAATTAAGGACTACTTTAATGGCTTCATTTCACATCTTTAAAGACTGTATCTCCAAATAGGTCACATTGTGAATACTGAAGGTGAGGACTTCAACATAGGATTCTTGGGGGTGATACAGGTCCATGCTTTGGATATAAGGATTAAGTGAATTAATATATGTTAAGGATGTAAATCTATACAGTAGATGCATGCTCAATATTAGTTATAAAATTACCTTATTTCCAGTAGTAGTAATAGATGTAGAAACAACAGTAGTAATAGCATCACTAGTAGGAATAACAGCAGAACTGAGAGAAAAGGAGAAAGAATCCCTATGCAGGTAAGGGGGAAGATATACTTTATAAAGAAATGAGACACAAGAGAGTAGTATTTGTTTCACACTCTTCCAGTTACCATGGCTGTATAACATATTATGTCAAAACTTCATGGCTTAAATCGACAACACTTATTTTTTCATGAAATCTGCAGTTTTGAAACAGATCCAACAGCGATAGCTAGCTCAAACTGTACTCGTCATCAGCTGGGACAGTTCAGAGTCTCACTCACGTGTCAATGCCAGCTGTCAGCTGGGACCTTAACTGGACACCTACGTGGGGCCTCTCCACATGGCCTGGGCTTCCTCACACATTGTTGCTGGTCTCCAAGGGCGAGCATCCTGAAAGACAAAAAGTGGAAATTGTAGTGCTTTTTATGACCTAACTTCAAAAGTCACTCAAAATTACTTCTGTTGCATTCTACTCATTTGAGGCATTTATAAAGACTATCAAAGTTCAAGAGATGGGAAAACAGACTCCTCCTTTTTATGGAGAGTGTCAAGGTCTGGAAGAATATGTGGAACTGAATTTACTGCTGTGGTCATTTTGGGAGAATATAATCCTCCATTCATACTACCCACCCACACAAAGCTTCTCCTTCTGGAGCTTTCTTTCAAGCACTTGGGTTTGTGATTTTGTTCCAGATCAGAATTTGATCCTTACACAATGTTACCCAACTTTCAGGGATTTGAGAATAAAATGGTACATTTGGCAGAAAACTTTTGAGAAGATCTTTATCAAAGAAGGAACTCTCTAAATAAAGGTTCAGTGTGTCTCATAATTCTCTTTCAAACAGGCACATACAGAAAAGGGGTTGACATTCTGATTTCTCAAATAATCTTTCCTTTTTATGACTTTGGACATAAACATGTCTCAGACCTGAGGAAGGAACTCAGATTTTCATCCTTAAAATTAAATCTGAAGAATAAGGAGAACCACATGCCTTTATCAGCTCCAATATTCTAAGACAACGAGAAAAAACTGAGTTAAGAACATTTAAAAGCCATACACTGGGTTCATCAAAGATTCTTCCACTGAAGAGAGAATCTGAGCTAGTTCTTGCTTTATATTTGAATGCTGTGCATGGTTTTCATGGGCAAAAATAATTTATTGACAAAATGCTTTTATTGACTTTACTGAAGAAGCCCTGCATGCTTTTTCACCAGCTTGCTGCAATTAAAAGCAGCAGTAAACAGAGCCTTTCTATTTAGATTGAAAAGCAATGATTAAGCTTACCCAGCTATAAATAGGAGGCAGCTTCACATCTACCGCCCCAACTGCACGCATTAAAGACTCCAGCTCCAAATGCCCCCAATTTATTTCTACAGGACAAACCAATAAATTGTCCAACTCTGACCTCAAAACTGACAATTTCTTAGAAAATGAAAGTAGGTAAATTATGTATAATTCTAGATAATTACTGGGATGTCTATGAGGCCAGGAAATCAGTACTGAAAATTTTCATGCTGAAAATCTAAATTTGCAGACTACTATCTTCTCCTTTTACCATTATTAAACCGTGTTTTGCCTTGAGCAGCTGTCAGAGATGGCTTTTATTTGCTTGGGGGCATAGAAGAAAATAATGGACTTAAGAATTACAGTAGAGAAGATAGAAAATATGAAGTTATTTTTTAAGATTCCTGTTAGTTCAGGTGATTCAATAAAGAAACCAGAACATGGGTAGTTACTGTTAAATATTTTTGAATAAAAATGTTTAAATGCAAGCCATTTATCCCACCTATAAGCTGTAGGTATCCGAGTTTTTAGAGATGTGAAGGTATTTGATTCAATCTCCTCGCTTTCTACAGCAGGAAACTGGAGGCTAAGGAAGCCCTGTGAATTGTCCAAGGTCACAGAGCTTGACGGCAGCTGAGCTGGAACTCAATAGCTTTTCTGACTGTCACTGCAGCATCCATTGAATGGAAAAATTTGCTCTCTTTTTATTATTTTTAGTGTAAAACCCTAGATTAATGAGATCTAAGTTGTAAAAGTCCATAGGGTGCTATATTTCTTTGAGTGCAAGACAAGCTTCCAAAGGTGACAGGATTTTCCCATTTGGAGAAACGTGGTCCCCTCTGCCTCTGTATCCTCCATCTGAGCCAAGAGTTGCCAATTTCCAAAAGCCCAAGAAAGTAGGTTTCCAAAACATGTCTTGGGTGATCACATTTTCTTTTAAACTTGTGAGTCTTCTTCATTTCGTGTTTGCACGTGGCCTACGTCTCCCAGTGATTTTCCAGCTGCCCGTGGTTCCCCTTGGGTCACGCACTGGATATTCTCTGTTGCTTTCTGTCACCTTCCCTACTCAACTCTGTGCCCAGGAGACTGGCTTTATGTACGCAATAATGTCACCCTAGTCCTTTGGCTATAATCAGGCTTAGCTATCAGGAACACCAACAGAAGACTGGAGAGCAGGGAGATAAAGAATCCACGGTTTCTATTCCCCCATTTCACTTCCTGCAGAATAAAGCACAGTTGCCCAGCTGCGCCCAGCCCAGATTAGCCAAATCCAGGAAAAATCAGTGAGAATTAACAACTGCTGTACTAAACTACTCTATTTTAGTAGTGCTTTTTATTCAGCAGTATCTGATTGACACCAAATATGACACCTGAAAAGAATTTAAGACAACATAACCAAGTTGAAATAGAGAAATATCCCTGAGACCCAGAAATGGAAGTAAACCCAGAGGAATAACTGGGATTGAGTTTGCAGATTCACTTGACTCTACATCCAGAAGCAAATGGAGATATCTGGGGCCCTGTGGGGTAGCAAAGCTAAAAGTAACCCATGGGAAGTAAGAGATTCACTCTTCAAACTCATTGCTTGGAACTAGTAAAAAGTTCGAGGTTCTCTCATGCATTAAAGGGGGCTGAAATAAGCTCTTAAAAACACTGCCTGAACTATAAAACTAGATAGCAGGGAAGCCGTAGAAAATAGTCTTTTGTCCTGAACTTTGGCTTAATTCTGCTGACTTGGTAGCTGAATGTGCGAAAACCTCAATTTCAGTGTAGTTTGGGTGGTTTGAGCTACCAATATAAGACCTGGGTTTTTACTATGTTATTGAGAAATGATGGAAGAAGAGATTAGATATAAATCTGCAAGACTGTGAAATATAAAATGGGGGAGAGAGAAAGAGACAGAAAGAGAGGGAGAGGGTGAGAGAGAGAAAGAGAGAGAGAGAAACTCCATTCAATAATAAAATTCCAAAAAAGAGAGAGAGAGCTCCATTTAATAATAAAATTCCAAAACACTTAAGGAAGTAATGCTAAGAAATACAGCAACAAAATGAACTAATACAACTGCGTTTACTCTGGATGAAATGGAAATAATAATAGAGACTATTACCCACTAGTCTTCACTAAAATAACTACTGAAGAATGTATTTCAGGCAGAAGAAAAACACCCTAAGAGATACAGAAAGATGGAGTGGAATGCAAAAACAATAGTACATAATTTTGTAAAGCATGATGATAAATTTAATTAACTATTAACTCTTAGAAAGAATTGTATTTTTCACATCACTAGATAGAATTCAAATAACACCAAGAAAGATATAGATGGGAAAGATACTATGTGAGTAATAAAAGCATACTTAGTTCTGGGGTTATTTGGGAGAAGAGCAGAGATACTAAATCACTTAAATTCAGTTCAGAATTTTTTTACTTAAAAATGTCCAAATGTTAAAACAATCACACAGAAAGAAAAAAATGAGAAAAAATAAGCAAAAAAAGAGCATGGTAAACATAAAATATATAATAACTAAGTCCAAATAGAGCAGTGATCACAATAAATGTAAAGGAATCAACTTTCTTCTAATAACAAGATCAGGCCAGATATTTAAAAATCCAAACATGTATGGTTTATGATAAACACACTTAAAACATAATGGTCCAGAAAGGTTGAAAATAAAGAAATGGAATAAAACAAGTAATACAGTCACCAACCAAAAGAAAGCTGATATGGCAATATGAATGTCATATGATATTGGATCCAGGCCAAAAAGCATTAAAAGACACATTTTGTAGTGATAAAAAGAACAGTTCTGTATTTGAATGGCTAAAATTATGGCTTGAAATATAAAAGAAAAATGCTGACAAAATTACAAGACAAAACTGAAAAATCTACTATCCTATGTGACCTTTTAAAACACATATCAAAAGCCAGTGAGCCAGCAGAAAAGATCAATTTGTATTAAAAAGCTGAAAAATAATAAACTCACTTTCTAGATGTAGAAACTGGGGTCAAGTTGAGTGATTTAAGCAAGATCACAAAGTTTGCATGAATTTGAGCCAGAACTAAAACTTACTAAATACTGATCCTATGCCCTGCCCATTTTATAACATTAATACATGTAAAATAAACTGCATATCTGCAGACATGATTAGCCTTTTTCATGCCCTTAAAAGAATCCTTAGTGTGGTAGCATATCTGCCAGTGTTCCACTCAGATTCTCTTGAATTTCTTTTAGTTTTTCAGGGTGCCTTTTTTTACCTCCTACATGTTATGTTTCTAATTACCTATCTCTGTGATTTTCTGTGGAGAACAACTCTTAGGCCATTGGGGTGGCTACTGTGAAACAGAAGTTCCTGGGGGTTTATGCCCTCAATCACGGCCTTGTTCAATGACTGACTGGTGTGGGAAAATGGAAGCCCAGCTCCTTTGCCTTGGAGTTCCAACAAATCTAAGGTATAATTTTCATTCCCACACTCCCCTGGGGGGTCAGGTTGAGGCTGAAACTCTGCTTGGCTTATTCCGTTCTCTTTCTTGCTTTTCACATAAAAGTAGGTTCTCTATCAAAAAAAATCAAAGTGAATGAAAATCATTCACAATCTCACTATTGTAAGACTATTTTGTTCATTTATCTAAGTATATAAATTGTGTAAATAAAAGAGTGATAAAGAAGAAAAAAACAAAAAAGTGGTTCTAGGAAAAGAACATTTGGGTGGGTAAAGATTCCTGCTGCTTTTATCTTTGGGAAATTCCAGTTTGATTCGGGCACCGGGAACCTGGCATGGTGAGTGTAGTGTCTGCCAAGCTAGAAAAACACTGCAGCAACTTCAGACTTCAGGTCAATTACTATTGACTGGCCAACTTTCTGTCCCCAGCATACCCTCTTGGGTCCAATTCCAGATTACTAATGGCTTAATTCCAAATCTGGAGGGTTCCTGGCCTCTGTCTGCCTCTCAGTGCACTTGCTTACTTCCCTTAAGACTGGCTCTGAATCTACAAGAAGGCAACTCTGGGATTCTGACCGTTAAGATGCAAGACCATGGGTAACCATATAAGCAACATCATGGGCTTTCTGGTTAGTTGGACCATTATTTTAGCCTCTCCTTTGTATCC